TTTTTTCCACTGTCTCCCCATCTATTTCCCATGAAGTGATGGGACCAGATGTCATGATCTTAGTTTTCTGAATGTTCAGCTTTAAGCCTACTCTAGATGTCTTGAAAGTGGAAGTGTGAATCGCTCAATCTTGTCTGACTCTTTAAGATCCCATGGACTGTAGCATCTAACAAAAGGAAGGGCCTTCCAGTTCATATGACTTAGAAGGCAGAGTAAAGACAAAGTTCATTATTGAGCACCCACTTGGATTTCCTCTCTCCTTTCTCACCTCTTGGGCTTCTGTCCCTGGGTTGGAAAGATGCCCTGGGGAAGGAAATGGCAACCCACCCCAGTATTCTTGGCTGGGAAATCCTATGGACAGAGGAAGCTGGCAGGCTACAGTCCACGGGGCCACAGAGAGTGGGACGTGACTTAGTGACTAAACAACAGCAGCTCTCAGCTCTTATCTTTCACCCCACTCCTATCATCAACCTACTACAGGGAAATGCAGTGCTCTCCCCAAGAAGTGTTCTTACATCACCTCATTCTTTTTCATATGGTCAAACAGCTTTGTAAAAGCTAAGTGCAATGTGGTTGATAGTAACTTAGTTTTGAGCGGCATATGAGATGCAGGGCTGACAAGCGCTCAGTCAGGACGGGCTCGGGTGGTGATCTGTTGTGTGCCAGGTTGTTTTTCTCTTCAGAGGTAGAGTTGAACTTGAGCCTTAGGCTTTAATCAAGGACTCAAAGGCATGGTGAATGAGGATACTATGCAGTGAGACCAGTGAGTAATTTCTGAGAAAAGACTCTAAAAGCAAAGTAATGAGACGATTTGCCGATATACATGCTGTATTACAGACAGAGAGATCTGAGAGGGCTGGAAGCAGTTGCAGAAAATCTGAAGTTTGTTTCAGGTTATAGGTGTTATTTCAGCAGTTTGTTATCAGAAGCAAAAATATTGAAAAGAGCTGATCATCCTCAGGGGTATATACTCTTCAGAATCCATGAAATTCTGAAGTCCAAGTCAGTCATAATTGTCCTCTTCATTAGGATATGTAAACTAGTATCTTAAGCAATATATCATTGTATGCTGCTATTAGTGTATTAATATTAATTGTTATATGTGTAAATGGAAGTAATTTTGGTGATGAAGCATCTTTAGTTAGTAAAATTTCTTTATTAGATGATGGTCAGTACAATACATGCTACATGAAGGTGAAGTTGTGTTGTTTTCTTTACTGCTATATCTGGCATTACTGCTAGAATAATGCTTAGCACATAGGAGGTAGTAAGTATTTTCTGAATCAATGAATGAATCTGCCATTGATCAATCTGCCATTGATCTAAAGTCCAATTTATACACTATAAAATTATAGATGTTAATGAAAATGGTGTCAAGATTGGATAGCATGACTTCACCTCTGGGAATATCCCTTTGTCATCTTAAGGACTCAGTCTAAAGGCTATTGGAAGATAATTGTTATAAGACAGTGACATTTATGGTTGAAATATCCCTCCAAAAACATGTTATGAGCTCTCTCAGGGTATTTTCCAAAAAATTGAGAGCTCACAAAGAATGTCATCTCATCTGGTGTAGTTTACCTGAAGGACAGATATTTATCTTCTGTTTAGAAAGAAAAAGGCTGGTTTGAGTTTTTGCCTGAACCTGGTACCCTTGAACTGAGTGCCTATCAACTGTGCACAGAGTGGCCATGGCATGAAGGACTGGGCCGAGCCCCCGGACCTCACGACTCGGGAGATCTACTATGTCTTAGACCCATGGCTTTGGGCATTGCAGTCTTAACCACACAATGCTCTAGTTTCTCTGTTTGTAAACTACCACTTACCCTGAGGAAGTTGTGATAGAATTCCTACTTGTGTAGTTTATGGAGCTCTTTGGAACTCTAAATGAGATATGTCTGAAATGTTTTGCAAGTTGAACTGTTTTACACAAATACAAACAGTTTTACACAAAAGTGAAGATTCTGAATACAGGTTAAGAAAACATCAAACAGAAAGAGAATGTACAAAGCTATCCTAACTGTACAAAGAATATTGATTAATGAAGCTGTGAACATCCAAAGGACTTGCAAAGGGAGAATAAGAATAAAGGAACAATTTTCACTGTCTTAAAACCACGGACCGCCACTTCTCTGACTGAGAAACCACACAAAAGAAATCAGTTTCTGCTGAATCAGCAAAGACAGGGGATATCAGTAATCAAAACATGTCAGCAATGGCATGTTTTAAATTTGATCCAGGCGGAGGTGTCACAAAAAAAATAAAAATTAAAAAAAAATAAATTTGATACAGATTTTATAGAACCTTACACAAGAATGGCTTTATTGGAGTAAAATATATGGGGTCTTAAAGATGAAGAAAAGATGTTAGGCGCTATTTAATGTTGAACTTTGAGCCACATTTCCCAAGGAATCATCAAACCATAATGCAGGGAATGCAGTCATCTTCTGAGGGGTTGCAGCTGCTGAAATGCAGACAGATGGAATTTCAGCAGTTTCTAGTGTAGTACAGAAACAATCTCATAATAGGATGCACACTTACTCCTTGAAAACTTTCTCTTAACCCTGGAGAGAGGGTATTGTGTAGACTCGCCAGTAATATCTTTACCATTATGGTTTTTCATTTTATATCTGGTTTCCTGTATGGTTTTGAGGAGTTACTGTCTGTAGCTAGAGTAGTGCAATTCTGGGCTGCGTCCTCTCAGTTCAGTTCAGTTCAGTTGCTCAGTCCTGTCTGACTCTTTGCAACCCCATGAACTGCAGCATGCCAGGCCTCCCTGTCCATCACCAACTCCCAGAGTTCACCCAAACTCAAGTCCATTGAGTCAGTGATGCCATCTAACCATCTCATCCTCTGTCATCCCCTTCTCCAACTCTAAGACTCTATAAAACTTAAGCTTGTTGCATGTCTTGGCATTTGAAATCCATAGATGTCATTTGTATTGATTCAGAAATCATGAGATATAATGGAAATCCAGATTTTCATTGTTGATATTGTGAAGGTTACTTATGAATTACCATCATACAAAACATACCAAACTGACTGGTTCAACGGGGCTTAAGTTCAAACTTAATGTTCAACAGGGCTTTCCTGGTGACTCAGATAGTAAGAATCTGCCTGCAATGGAGGAGACCCAGATTTGATCCTTGGGTCAGGAAGATTCTCTGAGAAGGGAATGGCAACCCACTCCAGTATTCTTGCTTAGAGAATTCCATGGATAGAGGAGCCTGGCAGGCTATACCCCATGGGGCTGCAGAGTATTGTATATAACTAAGCGACTAGCACACTTGCACTTTTACTTAATGTTCAACAAATTGAAACTCTGATTCCTTGATAGCATTGCAAGATAATCCATTAATTGCATTTTTCCTTTGCCTTGTGGCAATATATTATGCCCCATTAAGATGGAAGTGAGTTTTTCCCTTTAATTAAGAACCTCCTGAGTGCCAGCCACTCTGCTGGGGAATGTGGAACATGTGAGCGTCATGGACCTGACTGTCTGGAATGTTCTGTCTGAAGTTTTCTGTATTTCAGTTTCTGAGTTAAATATTCCATATTTCCTATTTCCCTTTAGTTAGACTACAAGGTTCATCTCATCAAGGAATACACAGTTCAGGGAATGGTGACAGTGGCCAGGCAGGTGACCATAGGCTGATCCTGCTAACTTTTGTGGAAGGGAGAGAGAAATATTTTGGAGGCTTATATTTATTTTGCCATTACTCTGAATTGGGAGCTCATGAAAATAAGTTGAGTTTTTCTCTGATTATAAACATAAGACATGATCATTATAAGAACATTTGTAAAATACAGAGTAAAATACAATGAAGAAAATAAAAATTAAATTCAATACTAGAGATAGTCATAGTAACCTTAGATATGTTAATACTTCTTTCTAGGCCAAATCATATTACTCTTTTTTAGAACCAGATGGTGCTTTTACACTTAAATTATCTTGAACTTTGGCCCAGGACATTATTTTTTGCAATATAATTTTCAGTGGCTGTAATGGTATCCCTTATTATGTAGCACTAAAATTTATGTAGCCAATCTTCTATTATTGCATAGCTGTTATTTCACAGTTTTTGATGGTATTAATACCCTTAAATATAAAAACTTGGACTTATTCATAATGATTTACTTTGTATGAAGGCCAAGAAATAAGATTGCTGGGTCAAAGGTTATACACATTTAAAAGGCATTTGATGCAAATTGCCAAATATCAAAGTGTATTTTAACACCCATTTTGTTGAATTAATTTGTCCTTTGAGTAATGGTCTCCCTTAGAAAAATCTTTCTAGCTTCTTCTCCCACACTTTTTGTCTAATGTAATTTTGAAATAATTGAATATTTGTTGAATTTTGAGAAGAAAAAGAACATAATACTTAAAGCAAAGAATACCAAAGTGCAACCGTGTTAAGGAAAAGAAAAGAAAGAAAATATTATTAGCTAATGTTGTTTCACATTCCTTATGCCAAAATAGACTCTAACATTTTTAACTGGCATTTTTATTAAAGCAAGTAAATAAATATATTTCAATACAAGGCATAGGGTTTCTATGCCTGTGTTCAAGCACATATCAACTGACTATTTGTAACTAAGTTTCTTTGCATGACATTGAGTGTTGTAGAAGGATTTTAAATGTTTGTTCAATAAATTTCATTTCGAAATAGTTTTCGGTTATTAAAAAAACACTCCCATTTGGTATCTTTCTGCACGTAAGTTGTGCAGTAGACAGGCTGCTCTCTTGTGCTGTGAAAGCCCACTGGCGAATTTCCTTTCACTTTTCTCAGGCAAACACTGTGTATTCTTCCCAGGTAATTTTACAATTAGTGTTCTGGAAAGCCAGAGAGAAAGTGGTGACAATGAAACTGAGGGAGTTGGGAAACACATCTGTTGAACAGCCAGAGAGGTTTTCTTTCTGTTCTTTATTTCTCCTAACTTAAAAAAAACCCTCATATTTATTTTGACTTTGCTTTTCTGCCTCTCTCCCTTTTTTTTAGTGCTCTGCAGAGGGGGCGAGAGCTTTCTGTGCACCAGTGGCATCTGTATCCCCAGGAAACTGCAGTGTAACGGCTACAACGACTGCGACGACTGGAGTGACGAGGTTCACTGCAGTATGTGACAGGCGGGGTGGGGGTTGCCTGCGGGACATGGGTTCTGTTCAGGGGCCTGGAAACCAGAGCATTCCATTGTCTGGTCCTGACAACGCTTGGGTGGACTGCTGTTAGTTTGCTTTTCTTTAGTGAGCAAAGTGTTTCTCTTCCCCCGCCCCACACGATAGCTTCATGTTTGCACACCTTTCAAAAACCTGATTCCATTAGGAACTTGACAGCTAGCTGTGCTTTGGAACAGTTCAGGCTCAGAGTGTTTTTCCTTTAAGTATCTTAAAATTGGGAAAAGGCTTTGCATTTATTTTCTTTGGGTGAGGATTTTTGTTTTTGTTTTTAAAGTTCTAAGAGTATAAAGGTCAACTTTTTTTTTAAAAGAAGGATATTTTTAATAGGAACATTTTTTACCCTCATGATTTTTAACATTTGTGAAACAGAAGACGCAAAATGTCTTATTTGTTTATGCTTCCTCTCATCCTGGAGAGAGGCAAGGCATGAGCCAACTGTTCTGCATCTGTGGATTGGTAGATTCAGCCTTTAAACATCCTCCACTTTCTTATCATTGATTTGGTTACTCGTTTTGACGAAAAACGGTGGTTTGTCCAATATTGTATTTGTTTGCTTGAGCTGCCTTACAAAATACCACAGGCTGAGATTTAAACAACAGAAATGCATTTTCTGACAGTTCTGGAAGGTGAAAAGTCCAAGATCAAGGTCTGATAGGGTTCAGTTTCTGATGAGAGTTCTGTTCCTGGCTTGCAGGTAACTGCCATATGCCTGTGTACTCAAACAACCTCTTTGGGGAAAAGCAAGAGAGGGGGAGAAGAGAAGAGGAGGGGGGAGGTAGGGAGGAGAGAGCTCTCGTGTGTCTCTTCCTCTTCTTATAAGGGTAGCAGCTCAGTTGAACTAGGGTCCCACCCTTCTGATTTTTTTTTTTTTACTTTACAATATTGTATTCGTTTTGCCATACATTCACATGAATCAGCCATGGGTGTACATGCGTTCCCCATCCTGAACCCCCCTCCCACCTCCCTCCCCATCCCATCCCTCTGGGTCTTCTCAGTGCACCAACCCTGAGCACCCTGTCTCATGCATCAAACCTGGACTGGCGATTTGTTTCACATATGATAATATACATGTTTCAATGCCATTCTCCCAAACCATCCCACCCTTGCCCTCTCCCACAGAGTCAAAAAGACTGTTCTATGCATCTGTGTCTGTTTTGCTATCTACCATACAGGGTTATCATTACCATCTTTCTAAATTCCATATACATGCGTTAGTATACCGTATTGGTGTTTTTATTTCTGGCTTACTTCACTCTATAGTAGGCTCCAGTTTCATCCACCTCATTAGAACTGATTCAAATGCATTCTTTTTAATGGCTGAGTAATATTCCTTCGTGTATATATACCACAGCTTTCTTATCCATTCATCTGCTGATGGACATCTAGGTTGCTTCCATGTCCTGGCTATTATAAACAGTGCTGCGATGAACATTGGGGTACATGTGTCTCTTTCAGTTCTGGTTTCCTCAGTGTGTATGCCCAGCAGTGGGATTACTGGGTCATATGGCAGTTCTATTTCCAGTTTTTTAAGGAATCTCCACACTGTTCTCCATAGTGGCTGTACTAGTTTGCATTCCCATCAACAGTGTAAGAGGATTCCCTTTTCTCCACATCCTCTCCAGCATTAATTGCTTGTAGATTTTTGGATAGCAGCCATTCTGACTGGATGAAATGGTACCTCATTGTGGTTTTGATTTGCATTTCTCTAATAATGAGTGATGTTGAGCATCTTTTCATGTGTTTGTTAGCCATCTGTATGTCTTCCTTGGAGAAATGTCTGTTTAGTTCTTTGGCCCATTTTTTGATTGGGTCATTTATTTTTCTGGAATTGAGCTGCAGGAGTTTCTTGTATATTTTTGAGATTAATTCTTTGTCTGTTGCTTCATTTGCTATTATTTTCTCCCATTCTGAAGGCTGTCTTTTCACCTTGCTTATAGTTTCCTTTGTTGTGCAGAAGCTTTTAATTTTAATTAGGCCCCATTTGTTTATTTTTGCTTTTATTTCCAATATTCCGAGAAGTGGGTCATAGAGGATCCTGCTATGATTTATGTCAGAGAGTGTTTTGCCTGTGTTTTCCTCTAGAAGTTTTATAGTTTCTGGTCTTACATTTTGAGTTTATTTTTGTGTATGGTGTTAGAAAGTGTTCTAGATTCATTTTACAAGTGGTTGACCAGTTTTCCCAGCACCACTTGTTGAAGAGATTGTCTTTTTTCCATTGTATATTCTTGCCTCCTTTGTTGAAGATAAGGTGTCCATAGGTGTTTGGATTTATCTCTGGGCTTTCTATTCTGTTCTATTGATCTATATTTCTGTCTTTGTGCCAGTACCATACTGTCTTGATGACTGTGGCTTTGTAGTAGAGACTGAAGTCATGCAGGTTGATTCCTCCAATTCCATTCTTCTTTCTCAAGATTGCTTTGGATATTCAACGTTTTTTTGTGTTTCCATACAAATTGTGAAATTATTTGTTCTAGTTCTGTGAAAAATACCATTGGTAGCTTGATAGGGATTGCATTGAATCTATAGATTGCTTTGGATAGTATACCCATTTTCACTAAATTGATTCTTCTGATCCATGAACACAGTTTATTTCTACATCTATTTGTGTCCTCTTTGTTTCTTTCACCAGTGTTTTATGGTTTTCTATGTATAGGTCTTTTGTTTCTTTAGGTAGATATATTCCTAAGTATTTTATTCTTTTTGTTGCAATGGTGAATGGAATTGTTTCCTTAATTTCTCTCTCTGTTTTCTCATTGTTAGTGTATAGGAATGCAAGGGATTTCTGTGTGTTGATTTTATATCCTGCAACTTTACTATATTCATTGATTAGCTCTAGTAATTTTCTGGTGGAGTCTTTAGGGTTTTGTATGTATAGGATCATGTCATCTGAAAACAGTGAGAGTTTTACTTCTTTTTCCAATCTGGATTCCTTTTATTTCTTTTTCTGCTCTGATTGCTGTGGCCAAAACTTCCCAAACTATGTTGAATAGTAGTGGTGAGAGTGGGCACCCTTGTCTTATTCCTGACTTTAGGGTAAATGCTTTCAATTTTTCAACATTGAGGATAATGTTTGCTGTGGGTTCATCATATATAGCTTTTATTATGTTGAGGTATGTTCCTTCTATTCCTGCTTTCTGGAGGGTTTTTATCATAAATGGATGTCGAATTCTGATCTTTATCACTGCTTCACAGGCCTTATCCATCATGTTGGGGATTAAAGCTTCAACATGCTGCTGAAACTCAGCTTCTGTTCACTGGTATGGAATAGAAACACAGAGACAGACTTTGGGTGAAATAGAAAAGAGCAGCTTTAATTGCTTTGCCAGGCAAAGAGGGCCTCAGTGCACTAGTTCCTGAACTGTGTGACCCACCCTGGAGCCCCCTCCAGGGTGGAGTGAGGAGTTTTATAGTGTTCAGGACATGATCAGCTCATAGATAGGTCTTGGATTGTTTGGCATCAGGTGAAGTTTCAAGCATTATCAACCTTCTGGTTTTGACCAGTCTAAAGTCTGTGTTCTTGTGGTCAGCAGTTTTCATCTGGAGGGGGTCTGCTTCCTGTAAAAACAACTTATGAGTGTGTGTCAGGCATTTATCTGTATCTTTCAGGGAACTGGGAGTTTGGTGATTCTGTTATGTGACAGAATTGTGGCCTAAATTGTTACTGGTTCCCCACCCCAACAGCTGTTCTTTGTTTCTACATCTTCACATTTCTTAGTCATTAACTCTTGAGTCAGACAAAGACAAGGGCACAGGGCTTGTACACGGTTTCAAACCTATAAATTTTGAGAGGACACAGTCTTTCAGTCCACATCAAATATGTATTCAGATCTCAAATTGGTTTGCAATTATGCAACAGATAAAATGGAAAAATTAGCCTCAAGAATACATTGCAGGATCTGCCACCAGAACAAGCCCATATATAATGGTGTTTGAATTGCTTTTTTTTTTAAATTGCTTTTTAATGGTTATATGACCAGCAATTGTTATTATGGGAAAAGCTATGTTTTCCTTCCTGTAGGAGTTGCCACAGCTTTATAAGAGTGCCTCTCAATTGTTCACCTCAATTGAAAGATTCCTCTGGTGTGTTTACCAGGCGGGCCAACTCTTCTTCCATATGAAGGCTTCTAAGACATTTATTTGCCATAATTTTTGAAATGCAGTATGTTGTGGTAATATTTCGTTAAGGTCAGTATTTCCCAAACTGGTATTCCATAGTACCTGAGTCTTGCAAAATGCCTGGGAAAAAAGCTTGAGAAATGATGTCTGTCAGATCTCAGTTGTTTCAGTCATGTCCAACTCTTTGTGACCCCATGGGCTGTAACCCACCAGGCTCCTCTGTCCATGGGATTTTCCAGGCAAGAGTGGGTTGCCATGTCCTCCTTCAGGGGATCTTCCTGATCCAGAGATTGAACCCATGTCTCCTGCAACTCCTGCACTGGCAGGGGGATTCTTTTACCACTGAGCCACCTGGGAAGCCCTGATCTATTTCCTAGAGAGTTACAATACATATTTGCTAATTAAAGTTTCTGATAAATCCCAGTTGTTGTTTTTTTTAAAAAAAAAACATTAATTTTATCTTAATTTGGTATTTCCCCAAAATTATTTGTTTACATATGACCTCATGTTTATTTATTCATTCATTTATTTATTTTATATAATATCTAGCATCCTATAGAATTTCAGTTATGTTGCTCATATTTTGTTAGAAATGTTTTCACTAAGATATTTGTTTTTATAACTTGGAATTCTCTCTTCAGAAAAACCTCTGGTACATGATTGTACATGAAAAACATTTTTTATGGGATGTATATTTACATTGGGCTTCCCAGGTAACACTAGTGGTAAAGAACCCGCCTGCCTGTACAGGAGACTTTAGAGGTGTGGATTCGACCCCTGGGTTGGGATGGCCCCCTGGAGGAGGGCATGGCCACCCGCTCC